AAAAATCAAAAGTTTTTCGGGAAAAAAGGGGTTTAAAGAAATTGATTTTAAATTTTTTGGGCCACAAAATTCACTGGTGTAAAAATTTCACAAATGGAGCTTTAAATTTCAAAAAAAATTTTTTTTCCCCCATCCCTTTCTTTAAAAAAAAAACGCAGTTGAGCCCCTTTAAATTTGAACCTTGACATGCTAGTGTACAGAATTCAAATTTTTTAAAAAAGGTACGTTGAAAAACCCATTTTTCTTAATTTACCAAACCCCTTTTTCCGTACCACCCCTCAGCTTTTAAAAATATTTTTGGCCCAAAATCTCGCATGCGAGCAAACCGAGTCTCAAATTTGTGCGCCAAAAATCCCTGGCATTTTCGTGGAGGGCGGCTACTTTTCATCAAAAAAGTAAGATAGCCCCCTTCTTACACTCTCGCCCACCGAGCGTTTTAACTTTGTTTTTCCAAGTTTCTAGTAGGGGTTGAGGTATAAAACCATATGTTTCAGTTACATGTTTTCCTTTGGGGGGAGAAAAACTCTTTTTGGCCCGTTTCCTCATTACTTTTGGAAAAAGTAAGTTTTGATTAATAAATTTTTTTCTTTGTTAACGGTTGTAAAAAAGGGTTTTTCTGTTTTTGCCCTTAAAGAAAAACTTTTTGGTAAAAAAAAAAATAAAAGTAAAAAATTTGGTTTTGTTTTTTAAAAAGTTTTTTTGTATAAAAATGGTTTAGTTTGTTTGGTATGAAAAAAAATGAATTTTTTTTTACAGAAAGTAAATATTATACTTTAAATTGGGGAAATACCTTAGGGCTTCCCTTTATAAAATTGTTTGGCTGTAAATTTTGAAGTAAAACATTAGACAATTGTCTAGTTTTATTTTTATCCCAGTTTAAAAACCCACTTTTCCCTGTAATTTTTGAGCTACATCCCTTGGGAAACTTTTCTACCAAAAAAGGGTTTAAAAATTACCCCGGGTTCTGGAGAGAGTCCCCAGATGTTTAGGGGGAGAACAAAAAAAAAAAATTTTCACATTTAAATTGTTTTGTCAGCTACATCCCGGGACAAAAATAAGGGCAAGAGGGTGTTTGGAAGAAAAGGCAAATATATTTCCCCTCAATTTGGGGGGATTAGAAAAATTGGGTCCCTTTAGGGGAAAAAGGGGTTTAAGCCTATTAATTAAAAAGGGATAAAAACCCAAAGTTACTGCACTAAGGTGTAAATACGGGACTATAAATTTTGGTTTCCCACAGTGTATGTCTTATTCCATTCCCTTGGGCGTCGGGGGCTAAAGGGCCCGGGCCACATCGTCCATTTTTGCTTTCTTCTCTTTGGGGCCCTTTGCCCTTAACAGGGAATTTATGTGCCCCCTGTCAAATTTTAGAAAAATTTAAATTACTTTTACCCAAACCCCTGCGGGAAATTTTGGTATAAAAAGACTTCCCCCTGCTTTCATTTAAAAAACGGGCACATTTTTAAAATTTAAAGGGATTTTTAGGAAAAAAATGTTTTGTTGAAAAAAAAAAAGGTTTTATGATTTTTTTTTAAAAATTTAAAAGAAAAAAAACAAAAATATTTTTTCAGAAAATTGTCATCCACTTAAAAAAGTTTTTAAAACTTTTCTTCAAAAGGGTTTAAAAAACCCATTTAGATCACATATTAAATATTTTTTTATTAGCCCATTTAAAAAAAGATTACCTGACTTGGGGGAATTTCATCTAAAAAACCGGGGTTTTTACTGTTATAATGGGGCAATAGTTGACCTCTAGCAAAAAACTGGGGCCAACCCTTTCGGTTAAATTTAAGTAACAAAACTGGATATCAATTTTCCTTAAAAAACAAATTAAGGGGCTTTTTTCCCCATGAATTAAAAGAAAAAAATTAAAAGGGGAAATATTAAAAATTGCTAGGGAATCTTTCCCCAGTTCTTTTTAAAAACTAAAAATTGTTATTGCAACTTTTATCACCCAAAATTGATTATAAATTTTAAAAATAAAATTTTGACAAAGGGTTTATAATAAAAAATTTTACTTTATATTTTCCTTTTTAAACCCTTTTCCATTTTTCCCCCTAATTTAAACATGTTTTTTTTGGGTTTTGGGAATTCAGATTTTTAAAATTTGTATTTTTATTCCCACTTACACATTTTACAATCATATGAAAAAAACTTCCAGTTTTAAAAGGGATTCTTTTTTTTGTTTTTATGCTTTTTTTTTTACTATGATTTTACCCCCAAATTTTTTTGTTTATTTCAGGGGTTTGGTAAACCTAACCAGGTTTCCGGGGAAAACAAACCGGAAATTATTTATTAAATTCCACAAGGGGGCCCGGGAAAAAAATTTCTCCCCCCCCAAAGGGACCATCAGACTCCAGGGTTCCCAGACAATGGTACCAAAAAAATTTTTCCTTGCCAGGGGTTTTGAACAGAAACCCTTGGATTAAAGTTTAATTTCCCCCCTTATTAACCCAAAAGCAGTTTAGCTCTCTAAAGGTTACCCCCCTGGGGCAAAAATTTCTGGTATAAAAGGGGAAACCTAGAAGAACCCAAACCAAAACCTTTCCCAAACAGGGGAAAACAGATAATAAGAAAAGTTATCGGGAAAAACCTTTTTCTTTTTGACATTTCTTCAGCATTTTTTAAAAATTTTTCCCCCCTTTCTTGGTTTTTTCTTTTTTAAACAAAGTCATTTAACATAATGTTCTGCGGGGGGGGTCTACAAAAAAATTTAAAGAACTTTTCAATGTTTTTTAATTTTGAGCCGGCCATGAAAAAACCAAAACCAATGGTCCCCGTTTTGAAAAACCAGCATGGACCCAGCCCACCTGCGCATCTGCGAAAGTCTGACCCAGGATCCTTTGCTTTTTCGCTTAAAAACCCCTTTGGGCAAGAGGGGAAACTGATAGTAACGGGAAATGGTTTCCTTTGATCAGGCTGCATGGATTTTTGGCCTTTGAGGGTCTGGATCTGGGGCTGGTAGCTAAAGCATTATTTTGTTTTTGGGTCATTGCGCGGCTTTATATGAAAAGGGTTGTTTAAAATTCGGGAAAAATTAAAATAATGCTAAAATTTTAATTTCCCATAAAATTTAAACCCTTTAAAAGATAAAATTTCTTTTAAAGTTTTCATTACAAAAAAATTTTTGACAAAAAACTTTTCCCTTTCCAAACCAAAAAAATTTTGATTTTTAAATAATAACTTTTTTTTTAAAACTTTTTTGGGGCCTTCCCCTATGAAACCAAAAATTTAAAAAGATGATGATCTTAGGGCCCAACTTCCCAGCTATACGGGAGAGGAAGCCCTTTGGGTTTCCCCCTTCTGTGCAAAAATTTAGGAAACCAAATGGGAAACCTAGTGGGACCCACCAGTGTTTTGTAAACTAGCTAAATAGTTTTCCCCCAATATAAAATGATAAAAATCCCTTTTGGGGAAATTTTAACCCTCAAAAAAATGGGGGGGAAAAGTGTTTTGAAGTCAGTGCCCTTTAAACCCAAACTTGGTCAAAAGAAGTTTTTTATTTTTGTTGTGAAAATGCCCCAAATTCAAATTTTTTCCTGTATGTGCAAAAAAATAATAAAAAAACCAATCCCAGTAAAAACTTATTTTTTAAAAATTTAAAATTCTTTAAACAAATCAAATAAAAAACCCATTAAATAACTTTTTGAATGTACATTAAAATTTTACTGTATAAAATGTAGGTTTTAAAATTTATAAGGATTTAAAAACTATCAAGAAAAAATAAGTTTCTGACTTTTTTAAAATTTTTCACGCAATTTTTCAAATTCTTTAAATGAGAAAATAAACAATTTTTTGAACAAATGAATGAAATATTTTGCTTTGAATAAATTTTGCATAAATAAAAAATATGCATGAAGGGAAATATATGATGTAAAAAATTTTTTGGATCCCCCTTTCAAGTTGAATAGACATGGGGGCTTCAGGTAAACGTCTTTTCCCTTTCCGCCGGGACTGGGCTAAAATTTTTCCCGCCAGTGCTGTCCCGGCTGTGCTTCCGGGACTTTTCCCGGGTTTAAAACCTGGGTAAAGGGGTTTAAACTTCTCTTTTTGGGTTTTTCAGTTGGACTTTTTCTTCCCACTGTAGTGTTTTATTGACTTTTTTAACAAAAAAAATTTTTAAACCAAAAGTTAAAAATTTTGGGAAAAATAGTAAAAACCGCTCTGGGATAAAAAAAATTTTTAAAAACTTTTTTTAAACAATTTTATTTTGTTTAAATCTGTTTTGGGAGAATGTCAATTAGATATGACATAGTTTAAACCCAAATTTTCAGAATTAAAAAAAGGGTTTCAATTGGGTAGTTGAAATGACTTTTTGTATGTCCCTTTTTTTATTTTGAAAACAAAATTTTAAGGGAAAAGGGAAGCTTAAGGCTTTGTGAGACATTAAATCAAATTTACAAATTTATAGGAAAGTTTTTTTAGCAAACTTTTTCAATTTAAAAAAGGGGGCTTTTCCCAAAGAAAATTTTAAAAGCCCAAAAAAACATTTAAAATTAAAAAATTTTTTTTATAGATCCCAATTTTAAAACACTGTACTATTGGGAAAAAAAAAAATAATAAAAAAGTTTACTAAAAATTAAAAATATTTTTTTTTGGTTTTTTTTTTTTTTTTTTTTTTTTTTCTTTTTTTTTTTTTTTTTTTTTTTTTTTTTTTTTTTTTTTTTTTTTTTTTTTTTTTTTTTTTTTTTTTTTTTTTTTTTTTTTTCTGCCATTCTTAGGCAAATTTGAGTTAAAGCGTTTTGGGGTGGCTAATAATTTTTTCTAGGTCATTTTGGGGCAAAATAAAAAATAATTATTCTGGAAAATGAAAATGAAGCTAATGAATCTTAACTTTGGCACACATTTTATAGGTCCAGACATGGCACTAAAATGATATACAAATGTATAGAAAAAAAAATATTTCAAGTTCCCATCAAAAAAACCTTAGCGGCGGAGTCCCCCTTTTGCATATAAATTCTATAATTATTTAACGAGTTTATAATGTACTTGGTTTTATTTACCTTTTACTATATTCTTGCTCTTTAACGGGTTGACAGGCATGAGCCTGTTGTACAGCACATGTGAGGGCATTTTTATGAACAACCTGGGTCTTTAATACAACCTGGAGGGACTCTAATCCACCTGTCTTCATTAACTAAAATGATACAAAAAAGAAAATATAGCTGACCAATAGAACAGTATTTTGCAAAATTAAACAACTCCACAAATGTATTTAGGCTACAAGTATAGTGTGGAGGACACCTGTAAATTTATGCAGTAAGACCAGGCTTCATACTGTTGTCAGCTCAATTTTCAATTATTTATATTGAAACCACTTGAAATCACAATGGGCAGTTCCTAATCCAAAGCAGGGGGACTGAGTCTAATATATAAAATCAGGGATTATAAATATCAAGGTTTTTGGAGTTAAATTTTTCTTTAAAGCTCTCCACTTATTAATTCAAACTTAATGCAGGTTAAAATTAAAATTATCCTTTCACATTATTCAATCTGTAATTTTTTGAGAACATAGCATCACTACACACCTCCAAAATCCCGTCCCTGCTTCTGAAACTGAACCTCCCTACATGAGCCTCGTCTAGCTCGTGTATAGCCAGGTACAAAAATCCTGGTGTATATCTGTAAATTATTAACATATTCATTCATGCATTTCTGATATTATCATGTATACAGTTTCTAGAACTTGATATAAAAGTTAGTGAAAAATGGTCAAATATATAGATCGGGGTCCGTATTCTCAGTGCCTGAAAGGGTGGATGGAGCCTCATTAAGCCTAGAATACATACATACATCAAATATATAGATAATTACATTTGAAATTTATCTATTTAAACCTTAAAATTCCTGAAATTCATGATTTGGCTTGTCCAGCTTCTTTTTTGGAAATATTTATTTATTATTTTTGAAATATTAAGATGAAAATTTAAAGTTATTCAGCAAACAGTATAGATTCTGGTTAAACAACTGGTCTGGCTCTATACTGGTGGCAAGTACCAGTCACTTCCACTTCCAGCCAATTAAAGAACAAAAACTGAATAATATTTTGATCAAGTAAAAGATGCTGTCTATTGAAGTAAGCAGGCAGTGAAGACTTCATTTTTTAAGTGTTATAACAAAGTCTTGTTTAGAAAATCTTTGGAAAATATTTATTTTAAACATGTGGAGATATATGTATTTACCTATCAACAAGTGACTCATCCTCTAGAACTGAGGTTATAAAAGTGGGCGGAGGTTTCCCCGCGTCCTCCTTGAATCCTGCAAATTCCATCTGTACAAACCTCATGTACATGTGAAACTCATCAAAACCCATATCATGTGCCTGTAGTCTGTATATCTGTACAATAAAATACACAAAATTTGATTGAAATTTTAACAATCTACTGTGAATTCATTTAATTTTAGGGGTATGAAATTTCATGGTTTTGACACAAAGAGCATTTCCGTGGGTTTTTAAATTCATGGACTGTTTATTTTTTTTCAATAAAGGTAAAATGTAAATAATGTGTTGCAAAATAATCTTAAAGCAGACAAAATAAAATTTTATTGGATCATAAATTCATAGACTGACTTATCCACAAAAATCACGAAATTAGTTCCCCATAAACAATAATGATTTTGCAGTATAAAGTGAAATCAGAAATTCCATGATTTTACAAATTTAACTTATAATCATAAATTATAGTTGAATTTAAAACTTGAAAAAACTGATAATGGCCTGAAGGCAAAATTTTCATTATGCTTAGCCTCTATTAAATGTCTTTGTTTTTTCTTAAAATAAAGTTTTACGATACTAGAAGAAGTGTATTTCATGCATGGATAAAGGCGCCTTATCATGTGATGATAAAATCCATGACAGTTGTGTACCCATTTCTACAATCTGAGAAAATAGTCATACCATAAACACGTCTTTTAAGTATGAAAGTAATACCAAGTGAAAAATTTGTTTGTTTGTTTGATTGGGTTTTACGCTCCACCGACATGGTGACGTTCCAGCTTTACTGTTGGAGGAAGACCTCGGGTGCCCTTCTGTGTATTTTTCAGGCATGAACGAGCACCTGAGTAGAACCAACAATGTTCTGTAAGCTTAGGCTGAATAGCTTCCTCACATGGTGAAAGAAAAAAGTCCAAAAGAAGCACAATTTAAAATCCAAGACAGAGTTACAAACTCCTGCCAGCGTGTTTTATGTGTGAAAATTGTCAATTTTATACAGAAAATCTAACAGAATTCCTACCTTGGCTAATATTTCAGTTTCCCAGGCAACATCAATCAACCTGTGTCTAACATGTACTGCCTGTAAAAATAAGATTTAAATATGTTAATAAAAATCTAATGTACATTTTGAAACATGGATGGTAACATATTTTTCGTACAAATAAAACCATTGAATATTTAAAACTATGGAATATCTAAAAATATTTAAAACCATGGAATATCTAAAACCATGGAATATCTAAAACCATGGATCACTTGCAATGCACAAATAATTTTCAAATGTAAACAAATAATTTTCAAATGTAAACTATAAGCAGTCATCTGAGGAAAAAACAACTTAAAAGTGAGATAGGTAAAATAACAAGCTTTATGACCATAAAAATGATTTTGTTTTTTCTAAAATAATGGATAATGTATCGTATCCAAAAGAATTCCTGCTCAACATGCTAAAAAAATAACAAAAGTTCAGAAATTTTTTAAGAAAAAACAAGCAATTATCATAGTATTGCAAGCAATCCATAAGTCCCCTACCAGTTAGAACCACATCAACAATCTGAAAGGCCATTGGCTATTCACTAATGTTTCAATTTTTCTCTATTTTAAGTAAATTTGTTGGAAAAGTTCTTTAAAAGTGATCACAGGAAACAGTTTTTATGAACAGACAGACAGACGGACTGAAGGACACTCTAAAGTTAATATTTGAAATATCCCTGTTACCAAAATATAACATTTTTAAAAGCAAAATTCTTAAAAAGGATATAACTCTTGAATTAAAGATGCAATTTCATAAAAATTTTCAGCTCTTTTTGACTAATCACAAATATTGTTATATTTGCCATGTTTTAAGCCTATTTGTTGCCAAGGCAACCAATATTTTTTCAAAATAGGAAGAACAGATAAGACATGCATAATCTCAAGACTGCCATCTACCCATATGTCAAGTTTCATAAAAATATTTCCAGTACTTTTTGAGTTATCACTGGATTCAGTTTATGTGTAAAATTTGCCATATTTTCAGTCTATGTGTTGCCATAGCAACCAGACTTTTCAACATAGGAAGAAAAAGACGTGCATAATCTCCAGTCTGCCATCTACCCATATTTCAAGTTTCATAAAAATATTTCCAGTACTTTTTGCGTTATCACTGGATCCAGTTTATGTGTAAAATTTGCCATATTTTCAGCCTATTTGTTGCCATAGCAACCAGAATTTTCAACATAGGAAGAAAAGAAAAAGACGTGCATAATCTCTATACTGCCATCTATCCATATATCAAGTTTCATAAAAATATTTTTAGTACTTTTCAAGTTATCGCGGGATCCAGTTTTGTGGACGGACTGACAGACAGACAGACGGAGGGTAAACCTAAAGTCCCCACCGGTAAACCGGTAGGGGACTAATAAAATAAGATAAGAATTAGAAATCTACAAACAGAAAGTTTAGATTGGGAAAAAAAGCAAATTTATTGACAAAATAATTATATGGCTTATTGATGCCTTATTTATTTCAGCAAAGTTCCAATGGAAAGGGAGGGAGGTAATCCAATTTTTGAAGGTGGTATTTCTAGATGCAGTTATCCCTCTTTGCAAGTCTTTAACAGGAAGTAATTCAAAATCATCTCCCTTTTTGCTGAGAAATCAAAATCAAAGTTTTTGTAAATAAAAAGAATAACTAGAATAACATTTTAAAATGAGGTTACAGTGCAACCCTACTGAGTTGCCCTCTGTAGAAAAATAACCTCTTCAGAAAATCAGTATCAATTCTTCCAAAGTAAGACCTCGACAATAAATTCAAACTCTCAAAAGCAACACCTCTTGGCAATGACCAAAATCTTTGTCTCCCAAAAGGGAACAGCTCTGCAGGGGTTATTCTGTATCCGTATTTACTAGGTGTACTTGTGACTAGGGGAAAAATGCTTACAGTTTAAACGGCGACCTAAAAACCATGTTAAACGTTAAACCGACCATAACCATTAAAATCCCTACTGGTGACTGTTTTAATTGTTACCTCCATAACTCTTCCCACTTTATTCATCATAAGTTTATTTTTCTGTTTCTTCTGCCCCCTGGCTTGCTGGTCCCCGTCCTCCTCCATGGCAAACCTCTCGGCTATCTCACATATAAACAATGGGTCCTCCGCAAACACACCGGAAAACAGCTAGATAAATACAGTAAGATAAAAAAATATGAATCCTCCAAAAAAATATGGGTTATCCCAAAACACAACCAAAAACAACTAGTAATATACAACAAGATTCAATCACAATTTAAAGATGAACTAATGTTTTGATTGGTAAAATTCATTATTATTTTGAAGAAAGTTTGTACCTATTTTGAGCCCACTCTCGAGTTCTGGAATAAACCAGAACTGATGACTTAATTGATAACATGGTAATGATCCCAGTTGGGCTTGAACTCATAAAGTCTAAATTGATAGGCAGACACCTTAAATACTAGGCTACCATTTCACTTCAAGTGGAAATATACATAATATCATCATGATATTATTAGTGCAGTTACTGGGTAACTCCTGTCTAATCTTACCCTATTACTGAAGTAAGATGATGATTTATAAATAACACTGAAGCTACTCACATCTTTCTGCATTTGTGGAGAAAATGAGGTGCCAATTGGCTCCATACTCTGCCACTCCCTGAGAGCCACTTCGTACAACTTCTTCTCCATAATCAAGGAGTCAAGGATAGTCTCTGGCTTGTGTATATGTACCAATTCCTGGCAAAAAAACACAAATACACAAATAAGTTTTATAAAGACACCAAAGCAAAGAATGCACCATTTTAATATGTTGTTAGTGCTTTTTTTTACAGAAAAGAGTTTTTTTTTATTTTTAAAAACATATAAATATAAGTAAGATAGCTAGAGAAGATTAAGAACATATAAATAGTGTTTCAAGAGGGGTTTCAAATTAATAAAATTTAAACCTGAATAATTCATCAAATAGATCCTACAGACTATATTGTCATATTAGTGCTCGCCAATTTTTTTAAGCCAATCACCGACGAGGATTTTTCAAATTTTCAGGTTTCAAATCTTAATAGAACAGATTTTATATAAACTGGACGTTTTATATTATAAAACGCAAGTGGGCGGAGCTAAGTTTCGAAGAGCGCTAAAGTGAAATATACGCATGTGCAGAGATCTTGGAAGTTTACTCCTACTAATCAATATTTATGCATCATGTTTTTTCCGTACCGTCACTACGGCATAGGATTAAAAAATGAGGTTCATTGAAATGAAAACAGGCAAAATAACAGTTAAAATGTTTTATTACTTACGGAACCAGTATCATTTTATAATTTCCAAATAAAAAGTTCACTTATTCCAACAAAGTATGTATGTAATATTTCTTACTTTTTATGTAAATATTACAGCCCGTGCCGCTGCAAAACCGAAAGTAGGGTGTTTTTATTAATTTTACATTTATTTTTGACAATATACTGCCATTTGTCCGAAGATGATATGTATATGAACATAATAAATATGTATGCTGCATATATAATCAAGCTACAGGTTCATTTCAGCCCGAAAAATATGTCGAGGTGACGGGCGAGGCAAGACATGTCGACTTTTTGTAGCTTATTGTGAAGTTGCAGTACATGAAAATCGGGCACATGACAATTCAGCACATAAATAAATATTTCGCAAAGAGGGTACCGATATGGATATGCACCGTGATATTGTCTGATTTACCTAGACAGAATGCGGGAATAAGCTATGCAAAACACGTGACCCGAAAATGTGTACCGCTACCTCTTCCAAATATGGTTATACACATTTAGGCTATCGTGTGACGTCACGCAGTGTGTTGGGCGGAAAAAAATGGGCGGAGCACTAAGCCGGTTAGAGTGCATATTGGATGTTCTTCGTAAATAAGAAAGCTACAGTCGCTTCGCAAGCTCCGCTCCTTTTTAGCTTTCTTATTTACGAAGAACACCCAATATGCACTCTAACCTATACTTAGTGCAGTGACCGGTTAACTCCTATTAAATTATATATGAGATAACATATTAAGTGACAATATACACATTTTTATTATATACCTATACATACTTTTGTTTATACTCCTAATGTATGCATCACACGCCCAAATATGACCCCGACATAAAAAAATCTTTATCACACTCTAGTATGATCTAGAATGACTTAGCTGACTTTATACCAGTTATATAATGGTTGAATATGTAGTTTAAATTCAACAAGCTATATAATAAAAAAAATTATTACACGAGTTTCTTGATCTATTACTTGTATTTGGATCTCATCAACTTAACAAGAATGGATCACACTCGGCCTAACCAAGTCTCGTGAAATCCTATCCTCATAAAACTCACTCAAGTCAAGTACAAGCTACAGATCAAGACACAATTATATTATTTATTCATATCACCATGTTTTTAAGAGTGTTTTTTATTCCTAAATCTAAATGTCAACAACTAGACATTGTCAACAAGAGAAAGATTTCTTGCCATCAAAACATATAATTACATAATATCATACCTGAAGAGCAAACTTGACAGCTTGAGGAACTTTGCTGGCTATGGCTAGTGTAGGATGAAACTCTAATATGAACACATTACGTAACGCTGACCTGAAAATAAAATGATACTTTCTATGGTAGACAAAAGAGCTAAAGTGGCAAATAGACCTTTCTATCTGAAAGGGACTTCGTAAACGGACTTCGTAATACGGAATAATTTGGGGATTTTCTCAAATCAATAATGCGAGGAAAATAAAATAATCAGTACGCTAAACATTTATTACAGCGGTTATTGTACATGTATATGCTTTTTATAATATTTCTATCAACACATTAAAGAAGAAGAGAATATAATCATAATTTATATAAAGACAAAATAAAAAGAATACAAGTTTCCTAATTCATGTATTCTTTGTTGTAGTGCTAATACCAACATGCCATTAAGTTTTGAGTGTTGTGAAAGCAAGACTAAAGGTAAATGTCATTACTGCTGTCCCTGCTGACGCCAAAGTGGGGGGGGGGATCTCCTGTAGAGAGCGTGATTTTCTCTTATTTGATTCACAACTCCTGCGATGAGCCGGTCGATTACATTGACTTGCTGCAACATTTGTTACACCCGTCACTCGTCGTATGTATATTTGTATACATATCACTGTTACTAAAGTATGTATAAAATGTAGTAACGCTTCAGTGTGAAATTGCGCGAAATTATCGAGCGTTAGAATTACACAATAATAGTACATATGTTATATCGACTAACATTAAACCCTAGGTCCTCAAAAGTTGCCGATTTTCTTACAGTTATACCTTTGAGTTGGAAAACCTGTCTATTATACGTGTGTCGTCAATTTTTTTGTTATGTTAAACAACTATGTTTTTTTTCACTGCAACACTATACTGTTTGCATTGTATTTATATTTTTAGAATGAACGCTGGTAGGCGAAGGCTAACTTTTAGCACTTCCCGATTTAGTTCAATCCCCGCCAGATGCTTCAGAATATATCAACCGTACATGGTTATGTTTAGTTGCCGTAATGATGCCAACTCTAGACTCCGTACTAGATATTCGCAACCGTTTATTTTCAAATGATTCCGAAAAGAAACTTTTTTCCAAATTCTCTCAGAAAATGTGTACAATTTCTATGAAATATAACTGGTAAAAGATCAGAAACATTAATATCAACATTACTTAAAGATATACTATGCTCAAATTTGATATTAGAAAATATTGTTATTTGTTTGTAAATATAAAATAAACATGTTTTGAATTTACACAAAGTATAAATGTTATCTTTTAAACTCTACACACTATAGGTGGGCACACTATGAATATATAGTGTCATTAAAAAAACTGGCGGTTTTTTTTTAAGAAAAGACCAATTTTACTTGATCTTTAATAGGGAACGCAGCTTTCCATACATAGTTTATTCATTCTTTTATTCAAATTAGACATATTCAGTAAGAATTATGAAGGTTTCCATACATTTATTTGATAAAAATATTTTACTTAAGGATGAGCATAGTATATCTATAAACTTAGAATTACAGTGGTCAGTAAATATAATTTTATCGATTGTGATATGGATACGATGTTACATGTACCCATCCCTGAATTGTAACACTTTTCCACAATTCAATGTGTTGCACCGCTTATGTACATATTGAAATTCGCACATTTATATACTACATTTTACATAACATTTTGCGAATAACATCACTTGGACCAACCATTAGGTTAGTGGCCGCTGGGAAAGACTGTATCCTGCAGTTGGTGCAAAGATGGAACATCACACAAATTAGTTCGACCTATTGATAAAGCCACAAAAGAACAATTCTTTTCTGGATACTGTCACTTTCCACGCTATGAAAACACATTCAGATGGCGACGTTTGTAAAACTCTAACGCTCAAGATATCGTGCAATTCCCACTGAAACGTTACTACACATTATACAAAATGAACTTGGCGTCAACAGTGACAGTAGTGATGTCCCTGCTTTTCATACTATGTACCAACACTTACTAGTATATCTTGAAAAAATCGCTTCTTTGTCATTGGTTGAAAAAATTAACACTACAATAGAGTATATGAATGAAGTAACTTGTATTGTGTTTTTTTGTTGTTGTTTTTTTTGTTCGTTTGTTGTTGGTTTGTTTTTATTTGGTCTTTATATAAATTATGTTTAATGTGTTGATGGTTTATAGTAGCATATGTATGTAAGAAAACCCGCTGTATTGCAGTTTTAGCATATTGATATTTTTATTATTTACGTTTTGAGAAAATCCCCAAATTTATTCCGTATTACGAAGTCCATTTACGAAATCCGTTTAAGATAGAAAGGTCTAATACTTGGTATATTTGACATAAGAGCTATAATGGTATATACTTGCTATGATTGACAGAAAACCTATAATGGTACATACTTTCTATGACTGACAGAAAACCTATAATGGTACATACTTTCTATGATTGACAGAATACCTATAATGGTACATACTTTCTATGATTGACAGAAAACCTATTATAGTACATACTTGCTATGATTGACAGCTATAGGTTGTTTTGGTATAATACGGTATGGCAGTCCATGTTTGTCACCATCTCTACAAACTTTCTGGTTATATTCCCTCTCATCTTCTATCTACAAATATCCAAATAATAGACAATTGCACTTGCTTCAAATGTACTTAAAATAAATGAAAATGCAACACTAGTGGTCCTTTTCCCCAATAAACAAGGAAGTCCAATTTCCTAATAGTTTTTTACAATTATTTCTTCCTAAACTACATGGTAGTTTTTGAAATATGGGCACCTGAGTAGAACACCAATGTTTTGTAAGCTAGCTGGACAGCTTCCTCAAATAAAAAAATCCAAAGTTTCTAGCAGGATTCAAACCCACAGCAGTAAGGGGCCAGTGGTTTGAAGTCAATGACCGAAACATATCAACCCAGACATTTATGCCCCTAGAAGAAAACATGAACTTTTTAAGACATCACTGGATAGGTGTGTTTATATTCAACACATATAGTTGTCCCTAACTTTAAAACAGACCTGCCCTTTGAATTTGAGAAAGTCTTGTTTTTGAATAGGGAATACTTTAAATCAACTACATGAATTCAGTTTGCAAACATCCTAGTAAGCCTAGATTGCTTACACCATTGATTATTACATTTGTATATACTTATATCAAAAACATTGTTTTGTTTGTTTGATTGGGTTTTATGACATACCGGCACAGTATAGATCATATGGCGACATTCCAGCTTTACTGGTGGAGGAAGACCTCGGGTGTCTTTCTGTGCATTCTTTCAGGCACAAAAGGGCACCTTAGTAGAACCACGGGCGTTCCATAAGCTAGCTGGATAGCTTCCTCACATAAAAGAAACCAAAAGTCCTTGTCCGAATTCGAACCCACAGCGATAAGGGGCAAGTGACCACAAAATATATATTGCCACTATAATTACCTGTTTATCAAGAATAGACTTGATAAGATTGATATGTTGTCTCATAATAACACTCTCCGCACGATAAATCTTGATAAAATATTCGGCAGACAGGTCATATCTTGGTCTCTGATACATTAAGTTCATTATCACCTGAAATAGCAAGTCATTACAATTATTAACACACAGGCAGGTTAAACATCAGTCTCTGATACATTAAGTTCATTATCACCGGAAATAATAAGTTGTTATAATTATAAACAAAAGGACAGGTCAAACCTTGGGCTCTAATTCTTTAAGTTCATTATCACCAAAAATAGCAAGTCATTACCATTGTAACCTCAGTACATGTCTTATCTGATAATAAAAACAATTCACTATCTCTTACCAATACCTTATTAACTTTGTACATTGAAATTGCCCTTTTTTGAATTTGGAAATGTCAATTGTGAGTGTGACAGATTTCAATATAATAATACTTAAATTGTGCAGTTTAAAATAATTATAAATTATACAGGTGATCTGTTTGTTTCTGAGGCATAATTAATGTGGCTTTAAAGCTAGCACTATAGGGGCTACATATCCAGAATATCTTATATTATAAGTTGAGGAGTAGGAATGTTGTCAATGAAATTTTAATTAAAGTAAATACATTTTATTGCTTCATAAAAGTTTTTAATAAAGGTCTTGTGTTGCTGGGTATTGTGGGGGTTTGTTCATTGAACGCCGTCCTTCCTTGTTGATCTTGTTTTTCATATTTTAACAGAATACATAAAATTTTACCTGGGCTAAGGCTCTCTTCTCATCTCTATCAAACACATTGTGGTATGCTTCCATATAACAGTCAATTAACTAAAAAAAAATAAAACACAAAATGTATATGAATATCCATAAAAATATTGTTCAATAACTTGCCAACGTGGCCAAGTGGTTAACACGTCAGACTAGTAATATAAGGATTGCTGACCGCGTGGGTTCAAAGCCTGTCAGCGGCAAGCCATTGTTTCCTTGAACAAGAAACTTTACACTCATTGCTTAGTACTGGTTGGTTCCAGGAATGGATTCAGGAGTGTTCAATAAGCTTATAGCTTCCAACACAATCAAACTAAAATAAATTTGTATAAACTAATACCTTGATACTCATCTCAATTACAGAAATAAATGGTTAATCTTAAATAAACAATAACATTTTAAATTTCAAATTATCAATTGATATACAAATTCAAATACAGGTAAATTTGTAAATGAAAAAAAACAAAACAATGTATTTGATGAAAACTGCTTAGCAGCTATAAAAAATATTAATTACTGTAATGAAAATATTTTGGGACATTAGTTTCTAATATTTTAAGTACATGTAATTTGCCACTTATATTAATTAAAAATTACATGATACTTACCTCCCTTTTACATTCCATAAATGCTGTTTCATTAGTCCATAAGTCCATCATCACACCAAACCTGTCAATTTCCATATGAGCGTATGTAGGCATATCAAAATCTCCTGGTCCTGCTGTAGATTGCTGAAAATATAATACAGATTATAAAAGATATTTATCAAAATTCATTCAAGGCATTTTAAATTAGGTTTACAGCATAATGGCAGAGATAAAAAATGCTGGAATATTTAGTTATTTTACCCTTAACATGCTAAATATCTTACATTCTTTCAATATGGACCACACCATTTGTCATTTTAAGGACCATTTGAAAAAATGTACTGGCTGAAAGACCATGAGCAGAAGAACCTGAACCCACATTGACTGAACTGAGAGTCATCATCGTAATCATTAAGCCACCTTTCTGTTCTCCAATTCAAAGATATCAGTAAAATTTAATATGCTCATAAATCCCCATGAAACTTTACCTGTCTACGTCTAGCGGACTCTGTCTTCTTGTTTACACGAGATATTCCACGTAGGTTACGATCCTTCTCTATATAATGAGTGGCGAGTAACATGAGACCTTTCTCTAGTTCCCTGAAATAACATATAATATATTGTCATGTTTTTGTATCCAATTTTAATCCGGTAAAAAAAATATAAAGTATGCTATAAAACTAGGCAATTCAACAAATCGTTAATGGTATTTTGGCTAAACTATAAACATTTACATCATAAACCTTCACTGATACATCGATAGATTTCTGGTTGGTCATCGGTTCCTTCTTGCAATTATTACAAAGCCTAAATGAACACTAAAAATATACCCAGGATCTCCTTTCAACATTGGAAAACACTAGTAAAACAGTAAAAAGTGGAAAGAATGGTCTGAACAGTGTAAAAAGAGCTTTAAGTCTAACAAAATATACATTATTCCTGTATAAAATATTACTGCCTGAATAGTGAACAGTACGGACCATGTTCAGATGGAACAGACATTCATGTGACCTCGGTCTGCACTGGTTACATGGGTAAGACAAGTTGCCCACAACAGGCTTAAGGGTTAGTAACATTGACTATGGGAACATACTTTTCTACAGGTTAAAAGAGCAAAGACTTACTCTAGATCTTTGACAGCAGTATCATACATGATGTAGTAACCCCTCTGATCTTGTACGTGGATTCTACCATCATCAATCGTGAAGAAATCATCGTGATTATCTATATCAGCAAACTCTACAAATTCTGACTCATTCAACCTGGATAAAACAATCCCAATATTTCAAATACTGAACATGTTTTAAACATTATTATTACCCTTGGTCAATACTTTTCACCTCACTTCAAAATTTGAATTATTTTATGTGTAATACATATACTTAAGTTTATACAGATTTTGTTTGACTGTGTTAGAAGTTATTAGCTTATAGACACACTCTTAATTAAATCCATTTTCTGGAACCAACTAGTACTGAGCAATGAGTGTAAAGTTTCTTGCTGAAAGAAAGAATGACTTGCCCCTGATGGGACTTGAACCCACACTGCTAGCAATCCTTAGATAACTAGTCAAAAGCTTTAACCACTTAGCCAGGCCCCCACAACACTCAAACTTTCAACAAACAGTAAAAATTTAATCATACTTACCATTTCTAAACCTTTTTGTTTAAAAGATAATTTTATCAATTTAACAAGACAGTTAAAATATCTTTAACAATTTTATTGCATCCTTACTATATGAAAGTTTCATAAATTTATAGAATTTAAACAACTCCACATCCAAGTTTTTTTTCTGGCCAAGGAAGACTTTTTCCGTGTATTATTTCAGGCAAAACTTAGTGCTTGAAACACAGAACTACTGAAGGTTTGCTGGATACATTATTAAGTCCTGAGCACGATTTGATTTCCCCCCAGTCAAGGCCCAAGTGTTTTGAAATCAGAAACCTAAAACGCTTGGCCAAAGATGTGATACCACATCCACTCAATAATCTAATTATACATGTATTTATGGACTGACATATTATCGAAAGAATGAACAATAGATGATACTAGAAAAACATACTTGAAATCTAGTGGTGTGTTGTGAAGATAGGAATGGGATGCGAGACCCCCACCACCTCCAACTGTACCATCGGTCTCTGTTGCTGTCCTGTGGTTCTGTGGACTGTAAAATAATATACTCAAATGTTATTCATGTCTAAACTTTACCAAAATACAAACAATATAATCAAAAAATTTTAAATTATAACTAAGTTTCTGTGAACAAACATTAAAGCATTTGCATGTGTATAACTGTTGTTTGGGGACCAGGAGATGGCTTTTGTGAGGGTATTTTAAACATCAAAATGTTGAATGGTCTTTTAAATTATTTTTCTTTAAAAATAAAGCCTAAAATAGAGTATTGTTGTATTTAGTGATGAAAACTTGATCCTCCACATGCAAATAATCCAACTTCTCCAAACTAAACTGTTAAAATGGAGAACAATAGACATTTAGAAACAAGTTTTCAAAATAGTATTAAGGTCACCAAAAACCTTCACAAAACTTAACATAAGATGAGGTGACATGTGGACCAATGGTCTTACAATGGTACTTAAATAGTGTGTTCATAGGAAAAGAAATAATGTTTACCAAGCTTGTTTGAACTCTGCTTCATCTTGTGTTAAACCAGCATCATTTATAGTGAGTGTTCTTTCCAGGACCGAAAGTAGTTAAACATACTCAGACACTGAAAATAAAGATAACAATATAGATATATGGAAAAAAAATTATCCAGCCAGTGTTTTTCCCG